ATCAGTATTCCATGCCCTGGGAGAGAAATGATATACTCTATTTATTGTATCTCTGATGTGTGAGGTGCTGCTAATGGATGTTGCAAACATCTAGATTATGCTAAAACATTTCAAAGATGTCATGTAAACAGTGTTAATAGTATTTGAAAACTGAATATGATTGTTATAGTTAGAATACTCATGAAGTTTAGTTGGATAGTACAAATTTTAAAACTGTAAAACAGTTGTCAAATGTTTTGACACCCTTTAGCCCCCATGTCAGTTAAAGCGTCTCTGATAGCATTTACCTATAGGGTTACAATTATTTATTTAAGTGTCTTTCTCCATCGAACCTCTTGCTTTTAAGAGTCAGGAATCAGACCTTTCTTAAAATATTTTTGTAGTGCCCAACATAGTAGATAAAACTTAGTAAACAGTTTTTGGAGGAATGAGTGGTCAGATTCATCCATTTAACAAGTATTTAGTGACTATCAGTCTGTTCTGGGCCCTAGAATTGAAAGGCTGCCTCAAAAACATTAAGCAGCAGGTATCTTTCTTTTTTTCAATTTCCATGTTTTGTTACAAGGAAGGGTTAGTTGTCATGGAGTGTTTTCCTTTTATGATGTTTCTGTATACCTTCTTATCTTTACTTTTGTTTAGCAATAGACCTGGTAACCAGCTCCAAGATCTAATCATTTGCCTTTTTCAGGACATTGGAATCTTTATGGATAATTTTCTCTCAGTTCTTTAATGCCCCATTTTGGAATTTTTTGAAATGTGGTTTTTTGGGGTTGATAATTTTTCTGATACTATTCGTCTAAAATGTCATGTGGTTAAATTCACAAAGATTGAATTATTGAACACCTTAGTTTTACAGTTTAAATTTTGTATCCCCTGCAACATGATGCCTGTTTATTTAAAGAAGTGTTATATTTGTTATATTTTGACCATTCTTTTTGCATTCAATTGCCTTTACTTAACTAACGAGAATCAGAAAGAAAAGACTTCAAGGAAGGAAGGGTAGAGTTCTGTTTTCTGGACTCATCATTCTCAATGTCTAGGCCCAGTTTTTTTTTTTTTAAAGATTTATTTTATGCATACAAGAGCTGGGGTACAGGCCAGAGGTGTGTGTGTGTGGGGTGAGAGGATTCACCCAGAGACAGAATGGGGAACAGAACATACAGACAGACTGAAATACACTGCTGAGGGGACCAGTGGGCAAGACAGGAGAGGTCTTCTGCGCCATGTGGGTCACCTCCCTGGTTGGGGATTGAACTTGTGCTGCAGTGGCTGCAGATAACATCATAGTGCTGCAACCCAACCACCCGCGCCACCAAGGAGGCCCAAGATTTATTTTATTTATGCATCTAAGAACAATGGTATAGGCCAGAGGTGTTGGGGTGTTAGTGAGAGATTCACCAGAGATAGAGTGGGAAGCTGAACAGGCAGATTGACTGAAATACACTGCTACGGGGAGCAGTGGGTGAGTCAGAAGAAGTCTGCTGTGCCATATGTGGGTTAGTTCCCTATCCAGGGATCCAGTGGTTGCTGATAGCTTCCGTGTGCTGAGACTTGACCCCTTGCACCACCAGGGAGTCCCAAAGAGGAGTATTTTAAAATGAGAACAAATGCTATAGAAGGTATGAAAAAAGTCAATAGGAGCATTAGAGGAAATATTATTCTCTGTTGGAAGGTTAGGGTATGCTGTCATTCAGAGATTTTTTAATACTGAATTTCAGATAATGTGTGGGGTGAATTTCTATGAAATGATTTCAGGAGAGGTGAGGAAGGGTAGGTAAAGGAAATGGACGGGAACCATGAAAGCTAAAGAATGAGAATAGACATATTTGGGGAATAGCAAATAGACCAGTTTAACCAAATCCTTAGGTTGTAAAGCAAGTGGTAGTAGAAAAATGAGAATTGAACTCTTGGTGATAGAGGACCTGAATGTAGTGAGTTCAGTACTAGGCCTTAAAAGTACTGGAAGCTCTTAATGCTTTCTGATGGGATAGCACAGAGAAGCTGTGCTTTAGAGAGAGTCTGAAGTACTGTGGATAGTGGGTTGGAGGAGGGGGAAGAACTCTTTTTAGGAAATAGGAACAGCATTACTCCCATTGTACTGATCATTGTTGCTGATGGGGATGTGGGGACTGCTTACCTTCTTTGTGCTAACTAAACAGATTCCTAATACTCCCTTCTCCAGGTTAAAGAGCACTTGGGCTTGGTTGCAGTATATTGCCCTTCATTAAAAGGAATACCGTTCACTGCAAGGAATAAACTGTCCTCTTCCTTTAGATACTTAAAGGAAGAAGCAGCTGTTTACTATGAATACAAATTCATAGAAAAATGATGGTGAGATACTTTTGAAGACAGCCTTCTAATTTTCGGGTGAAATACTATCTTACTAAAGAAGGTTAACCTTGCCTGCTGCCATAATATGCAGTGGTTGGTAAATGTTGAACCAATTGCAGAATGAAAAACAGACAGGGATTCACACTAAGTCATTCTGTTAGCTAAGCATTTTTTTTTTTTTAAGATTTTATTTATTTATTTTATACAAGAACTGGGGTACAGGTCAGAAATGTGGGAGGCAGACGGACCAAAGACACTGCTGAGGGGAGCAGCGGGCGAGGCAGGAGAGGTCTGCTGTGCCATATGGGGTTCTTCCTGGCTGGCGGGGAATTGAACTGGTGCTGCAGAGGCTGCGCACAGCTTCTCAGTGCGGCACTCAACTGCTGCGCCACTGGGGAGGCCCCTGTTATCTAAGTATTTCAATAGACTTTATCTTAACATTAAAATCTACTTCCAGTTTAATATGTTCAGTTAAATTTTGAATGTTAAAGAGTTTATTGGTTTTAAATTACTGGCGTAAGACACAGATAATGGTCCTGCTATTTTACTTGTAAAATACAATATGGTTGGATATATTCTTACTAAGAGTGAATTGACAGTTTGAAATTGTTATGAGTACTAAGAATGGATGTTTAGATAAGGGGATACTTTGGTGGCCAGGATTTTCAGCATAGAAATTTTCCAAGCTACCTTCTATACTAAAAATGACTTTTTGACTTAGATAGTTCATGGTGAATTATGTCACCTAATTTTAATGTATTTTGAGAACTTCATTTTCTTTTCATTATCTCTTCTTTTGTAGTTATTTTATAACACTGTTGCCTTCTTATTTTGTCTTCTCTTTACTTTTCCTACCTACCTGTTTGTGCTTTTTCTTTATTCCAGCTCATTCCCCTAATTTCTTTTCTACCAAGCCTAATCTAAAATTGTATATAATGCTTCAGATAGTCTAAAATAATAAATGTCATGAAACCGGCTTGTTCTAAACTGTATAAAACTTTTTTTTTTTTTAAAGATTTATTTATTCATGCATGCAAGAACTGGGGTACAGGCCAGAGATGTGGGAGGTAAGAGGATTCATCAGAGACCGAGTGGGGGACAGAACAGATAGACTGACCAAAACACACTGCTGAGGGGACTGGTGGGTGAGGCAGGAGAGGTCTGCTTTGCCATGTGGGTTGCTCTGCTTCATAGTGCAGTGCTTAACCCCTTGGGCCACCAGGGAGGCCCCCCTTTTTTTTAAAGATTTATTTATACAAGAACTGGGGTACAGGCCAGAGGCATGGGGTGGTGAGAGGATTCACCAGAGACAGAGCGGGGAGCAGAACAGGCAGACAGACTGAAAACACTGCTGAGGGGACCAGTGGGTGAAACAGGAGAGGTCTGCCATGCCATGTGGGTATCTCCCTTGCCCGCTGGGAATCGAACCTGCGATGCAGAGGCTGATGACAGCTTCACGTCGCTGCGCTCAACCCACAGTGCCACCAGGGAGACCCTGTATAAAACTTTTTTGACTAAAGTACGTTAGGCAGGTACTTTGATTTTCCTTCTTAAGTAGTTTGTGTTCATGTTGATATGATTAGTTTACATTTCTTAGTACAGCTTTTTTGTTTTTATTTTTTAGTATAGTTTTGTTGTTGGAGTAGTTAACTTCTCATGATAGGCTGTGAGAAGATACTTTTGGATTTGGAATATTTGGTTAATTCATGAAGACAAGCTTCCTTTCACTGAGAGAGTTGATTATAGGCCAGTAGTTTCCAGGTTGTTCCTTGGCCCAGCATCCTTAGTAATACCAGGTTACTTTTTAGATATGCAGATTTTAGCTCTGTATTCTATTTACTGATTTAAACAGCTTGAAAGAGATCACTTTTCTTGATACCACTCTTCTTGAACTGATGTTTGAGGCATAATTGACTTAAGGACATTTTATGCTTAATTCCCTGGCAGAGAAAATAAATGCTGTTTGTATTTTCAAGTACAGATTTTGTACCCTGAGTGAACGTAATGGCTACTCATAAGTGAGTAATTAAAATGGTTAAATTTAGCAATTTAATTAAATTTAATTGTCTTTAAATTTACTTTTCCTGTAGGAGGCAAAACCTTCAACTGAGGACTTGGGGGATAAGAAGGAAGGAGAATACATTAAACTCAAAGTTATTGGACAGGTGAGTTTCATTATTTTTTTTTCTTTGATTTGTGAAGAATTTCTGATGTACAAAAATTACATAAGGAAGACGAAATGGCATTTTCACTTACTATTAATACACCTGTTGAAGGAAGATGATGCTGATACCCTTTTTAAAATTATCAATACTTTACTAGAGGGGCCACTGAAATCAGGCTAATGTATGTGCTCTTACTCTATTGCCTGTCTGTGGCCTATTTGCACCCAGTTAGCGCCCAAAGCTTCTTGGTGGTGATAGCCGAGAGAGAGCCAGCCCCGCTGTACCTGAGGAGATGGAGAACCACATCTAAGATCCCAGCAAAGTCCAAGATCCCATGCAGGCTGACCATCATTCACTTGAATTATGCATTGTTTCTACCACCTAGGCCTGGTCTCCTGAGTCACTAGTGTTATGGTTAGAAAGACATGGAAGAAAAGGAGTGATGGCACATCACTGGTTTGCTTTTTCAGAGAAGAGAGCAAGCAAGAAAATCATGTTTTTTTTTTTTTTTTTTTTTGGGGGGGTGGGGCATGTTAGAAGGATAGGAGAAAGGAAACAGGGTCTTATATTTTCTATGATTTTTTAAAAATTCTGTACTTTTACATTGGTGGTGAAATAGACCCATCCAATAGTTATTGTTCTATTGAGAAGAAAGAAGAGGTGGATTCCCCACTTTTGATTCAAACCTTTTTTCTCTATGATAAAGCATAAATCATGGATACCAGAGAATAAGGTGGGGTCAGGAATCCTGAAAAGACTGAGAGGCTTACATTCTTCCTCAGGAGGGAAAGATGGGGTGTTTTTAGCTGTCTCTGGAACCTAAAACAAACAAAAATACCATCAGTTAAGTACCATGGAAAGGAGACAAGAAGAAATCTGAATCATTGGCTTGGCCCCAAATAGCACCCCCACAAATCTGGCAGGAGAAACAGTACAGGGAGCTTTGTGCCCTGCATGCACTCAATAATGTCTTCCAGGTTGGCAGTGCCTTTACACAGTATATGCTGCACGAGATTTTCCAGAGGTTGTCTCCAAACACCATGGTGGAAAAATGGAAACTATCATATGAACGTCATTATGGCAGCACTTCAGACCTCAGACTATGGAGCTGTTTGGTGGGACAAGTGCATGGATGTTGGTGCTATTGCTTTCACTAACAACATGGGCTTCATTATGAACCTGCCCTTCAGCCTGGGCTGGGGTCCACCGAAGCGCCTCAAAAGGCAGCACTGGATCTTTATTTGAGGTGGGAGGTGCTTACTACTACCTGGACTCTATACTGAATATACCCAAGTGGATTGGAGGGAGAGTGAGCTCAGGAAATTTTTTAAACATCACTTGTGAGGAAAGAATTGAACTTCTGGTAGTTACAGAAGGCCCATCAGATTTGACGAGTGATGTGTAGTGCAGTTTTGCCCAACCTTCCTTCATTTCACCTCTAATTCCTCTGTGATGTGGACCTGCCCCTGCCACTCCCACAAACAACTCATTGGATTTTCCCTCAGATTTGACAGTGCAATAGGACAGATGTGTCAACTGTTACAAGAACCAGCCAGCATTACTCATTCCTGGGAAAGGAAAGGAAGATTGCTTAGGGCAAGTGATGGAAGACACTTGTTTTAGTTCAGAGAGGAGAAAAGTGGGTTCTGCTTATTTTCCCCTTCCCTGTGAGGACTTGACAGAGATTCTGCTGCAGTCTATTACTGCTCTGACTCACCTGGAGGTGAAGCCTCCATTTCCCCTTTCAACCATTTGGTCTGAAGAGACTACAAGCAAAGCCCCATGTCACTGGCTTGAAGGACACAGAGCTTAAGGGCCTCTCAGGAAACCATCTCCAAAAAATCCAGCAGTGGTACGACATCCTATTTCCAACCCTATTTGCCAACTTTTTTTTTTTTTTTTAGAGGCATTTTTTTTTTTTATTTGTTTGTTTGTTTTGTTTATACATGCACTGGGTACAGTCAGAAGCGCGGGAGGGTGAGAGAATTCACCAGAGCCAGAGCGGGGATCAGAGCAGGCAGAAGGACCGAAGTACACTGCTGAGGGGAGCAGCGGGTGGCAGGAGAGGTCTGCGCACCATGTGGGACCCTCCTCTGGTGGCCGGGGAGCAGCCGGGGATCGAACCGGCGTCACAGAAGCTGCGCGCAGCTTCGCAGCCCAGTGCTCAACCGCTGCGCCACCGGGGAGGCCCCTATTTGCCAACTTTAAGGGTTGTTTAGGCCCTCCTTGGAGTTTTACAATGAAAAGTTTTAATATTCCCCTCCAAGTGGTTGAATGCTAAAATAGTCTAGTGTGACAGGCCAACACCAAACTGGAGCAGGCAGAGTAGGCTCATCTGTCCTGCTCTAGGGTTGTCCCCGCCACTTCACTACATGGATTGAGGAGGCTTTGGGGCATGAGACAAGTCAAGGACAGCTTTCCCAGCTGACCACCTCCTGCAAAATCAGGAGAAAATAAGTCTGCTGTATAGATCAAAGTCTAGTACTTTGAGGCAAATTGACTAAGGTAAGTATATTGAACATAAGCCTCTCAGAGATTAAAAGAATGAGCAGAAGTTCTAGGAGTGGAGTTACTATAGTAACAAGCAGAACTCCTAAGTTGGGTGATTTAAAGTTTGATGTAGGGCCTCCCTGGTCATACAAGGGGTTAAGTCACAGCATTATGAAGCTATCATGAGCCTCTGCAGCGCAAATTCGATCCTGGGCCGGCCAGGGAGCAACCCACATGGCACAGCAGACCTCGCCTGTCTCGCTCGCTGCTCCCCCAGCAGTGTATTCGGTCAGTCAGTCTGTTCTGTTCCCCACTCTGTCTGTGGTGAATCCTCTCACCTCCCACACTTCTGGCCTGTACCCCAGTTTTTGTATGCATAAATAAATAAATCTTTTTTAAAAAAATAAAGTTTGATGTAGCCTTTATAAATCAACTGAGAATTGACCTGCCCCCTATCTTTTTAAATAGTTGTAGGCCATTTTTCTCCTGTTATTTTTGAAAAGGAGATCGGGAAGCACCAGAGTGTTTGTAGTCACCTCAAGGCAGGTGGGCATGTAGAGTTGGCCTTTCTAGCCTTAAAGATCAGTGGTCTTGGCAGGTCAGAGAGTTATAACACTGGCCAGACTTTACTCCAATAGCAAATCTAGTCTGGTTGCATGTCAAGCCTGAGCAGGCTAAACACGATGAAACTGAGACTCTCCTCACTGTGACTGGAGTTCATGTTTACACCAGTACTTTTTCTGCACATGTAACTTTAATCCAACAACCCCATTTGTAAAAAAAAAATTATGCATACAAGAACTGGGGTACATGCCAGAAGTGTGACGGGCGAGAGGATTCACCAGAAACAGAGTGGGGAGCAGAAAATGCAGATTGACTGAAATATACTGCTGAGGGGAGCAGCAGGCAAGACAGGAGAGGTCTGCTGTGCCATGTGGGTTCGTTCCCTGGCCGGCCTGGGAGTGAACTCGGCCTGGGAGTGAACTCGTTCTGCAGTGGCTGCAGATAGCATCATAATGCTGTGACTTAACCCCTTGTGCCACCTTTTTTTTTGCTAACAGGTCACCAAGCAGCTAGTGCATGACCCCCTTTCAGCAACTGGCTTCACTTTAAAAAAAAAAAAAAAGGATTTATTTATTTATGCATACAAGAACTGGGGTACAGGCCAGAGAGGCAGAGGATGAAAGATTTCACCAAAGACAGAGTGGGGAACAGAGCAGGCAGGCTGACTAAAATATACTGCTGAGGGGAGCAGCGAGTGAGACAGGAGAGGTCTGCTGCACCATGTGGGTAGCTCCCTGGCTGACCAGGGATCGAACTCATGCTGCAGAGGTGATGGATAGCTTCATAGTTCTGTGCTTAACCCCTTGCTCCACCAGGGAGGCCCCCTAACAATCTTTTGTTAATGTTCCTAGGTTACAGTCTTGCTTTATAGTAAGGATTTTCTAATGTCAAGATTATGGGGAAAATTGTCTCTTAAGAGAAAATTTTTTTAAGAAAATTTCTCTCTTTTATTCATCTGGAAGTGATTTTAGTGTAGGTGTGAGGTATGCTATGGAAATTTTATCTGTTCGTGAAATTATCCATGGGAAGAGAACTTGGTTTTCTCTGTAGTCACAAACATATTGTAAATGTACGACTTCCTCTAATAGACATTTGTGAATGTGATATGTGATCATAAGTATTGGCTTTGAAATTATACGGTATGGAAGGGCCAGTATTGTGTTTTCTTCTTTCCTGATGGTTGCCTGATATTTTGCTTGATAATCAGGGTAGAAGGAAGTATCTGTGATCCCATAAATAAATTTGATTGACTCAGGTTCTTTTTCAATTTATTCAAGTGAGAAAGACCAGGATCTAGGATGACTTTTTATGGTATAAGTTTGTTATTTTATTGTATATGCTTTCCTTTTATGTCTCACCACTTTCAAAAATGCCTGTTTGTGTGTGGGAGATACTTTTTGTTTTCAGCTGCTTTGGTGAGGGTGGTTTGTGATACATAGTTCATCTTTTATTTTGAAAATTGGATGGACATGAAATTATGAAGGAATGTGTTCTTTGACATGGATGCTTTCACTTTTAGTTTTATCATGTACAAATTGCATTTATATTTTTATTAGATTTCTTTTGAAATGGGTATACGGCAGTTTTGTGGATGGTTACAGTGTTTTATTAAAACCTGTGTGGAATGCTAAAAAGAGTATTTTGGTAGGATATGGGTGGCAAAGTTTATGATTGTATTTGTAGCATACGGGTCATTAAATAATTTGGTTCAAGCAAAGCATATAGTTTACATAAAGCCGGATACTTTTCTTCTTTTATCTTCTTAGGATAGCAGTGAGATTCACTTCAAAGTGAAAATGACGACACATCTCAAGAAACTCAAAGAATCGTACTGTCAAAGACAGGTTTGTTATGTTATGTTATTTCGGTATGGTATATTGAATATAGTGCTTTATATGTCATTCATTTTTTTTATAAGGCAGGTTTGTCAGGAAAAAAATGACCTTTGACTTGTCACCATTAGCAATTCAAGGAGAATTGACTGAAATACACTGCTGAGGGGAGCAGTGGGTGAGACAGGAGAGGTCTGCTGTGCCATGTAGGTTAACATCCTGGCTGGGGATTGAATTTGTGCTACAGTGGCTGGATAACTTCATAGTGCTGAGACTTAACTCCTTGTGCCACCAGGGAGACCCCATTTATTGTATTTTAAAACATAAAAATATGTTTTACTATCTTTTATGTCACTTACAGTGCTGTTGATGCTATCAGAGTTTACTGTAGCTTATGTTGCTAGCTACTGTGCTTTAACCAAATTTCCATGATTTAATGTTTAAAATCAATTTTGTTTGTACAGTTTCACTTGAAGGTTAGTGAGGGTACTCTCCCAATTTCTGATTTTATTTTATTTTATTTTATTTTTTTTAAAGATTTATTTGTTTGTTTGTTTGTTTGTTTATCCAAGCACTGGGTACAGTCAGAAGCATGGGAGGGTGAGAGAATTCACCGAGCCAGAGCGGGGAGCAGAACAGGCAGAAGGACGGAAATACACTGCTGAGGGGAGCAGCGGGCGGCAGGAGAGGTCAGCGCGCCATGTGGGACCCTCCTACGGTGGCCGGGGAGCAGCCGGGGATCGAACCGGCGCTGCAGAGGCTGCAGGCAGCTTTGCAACCCAGCGCTCAACTGCTGCGCCACCGGGGAGCCCCTGATTTTATTTTTTATTAGCTTACAGATTTAAGAGGAAACTGTGCAGAATAGTGGTCAAGAGTATGAGCTTAGGAACGGGTTTATACTTAAATTATGGCTAGCTTGTATACTTTCTCTAA